ATCTGCAAACTCACTAACCATGCTTCCTGGATTCTCATCCAAGTTATTTCTATAAATGACAAAGAACAGCGGACTTTGCACTGATCCCTGCAGAACACTGCACCACCCTATACCACCACCTTCTGTCTCCCACTGTTAAGCCAACTTCGTATCCAATTGGCTAGCTCTCCATGGATCCCATGTGATCTAACTTTACTAACCAGTGTACCATACGGAACCGTGTGTAAGACTTTGCTAAAGTCCACGTAGACAACATCAACCTCTCTGCCCTCTTCAACATTTGTTCCCTCTGAAAGCGCAAGTAGAACTTCTTGTCTCAATCTGAGGACTTTGTGTGACATCAGTAGAAAGAGTGGAGCTAGTGTAAAAGGAACATTAACCATTTTAATACATAACTTACGCTACACTTACGTCTGCTATTTGAAATAACCGTGTTTTTGATGTTAGATCCCAGTGATCAACTTTTGTGTTCTTTATCCCAAATGCCTAATTGGTGTGTAGATATCATTATTGGATGTTGTGTAGAATTCTTATTAACATAGGTGTTTATCAGTATGTTTTGGCTTTGCTCTGCTTGCTGACATGGATTTCCATAGTGAGTATTGGTGTTTGTCACAAAAAAAAGAGCATAAGAATAAGTGTGGCGCACAATCTTAAAACTAATACAGAATTCATGAATAAAATCTATGTAAAGTGCATATAAAATCAATGTATAAAGACAGTCAGTGTTTAATGTTAAGGTAGCAAGATATACTTAGAGAATACGACAGGATGCCTTCAGTTGGCAAAGGTTCATTAGCAATAAGGACAAATAACTAGGTAGGTACAAGAACTTAATTCTTAAATGTACAGATTTTAATAGGGGAGGTCATGACGTAGTAATGGACTTGACTATTAAGAAAACCTCTTGTGCTTGAACCTATATTACTGTTCCATCGCTGTTGCTGGGTCAAAATCCTGGAAGATCCTTCCTAGTAGCACAGCGAGTGTCCCTATACCCCAAGGACTGCAGTGGTTCAAGAAGGCTGCTCACCATCACCTCCTCCAGGACATTGGGGCTAAGCCGTAAGTGCTGGCCTAAAAACCGCAGCCTCATTCGAATGAATGAATATTAAGAAAAAGAACCAAAGCAATACATACATTATTTACAATTGTTGTATAAGTTGCAATAAAGCTTCTTGTACATGTTAAAAGACAAAATTAATTTTAGACAATACCGAAGGCTTGAAAACTCATGACGGTTCTTTTTGTACAGTAGGCCTTTGAGTCTTGAATAGCAATTACAAAATGTTAAGTGTTAACTGCTACGGAGTGTACTGGTTCCATATTTCCGTTTGTTCAATCTCAACCGGCTTTGCAGAAATAGCCTGCAATTAAACTGTGTGTGCGCACACAGGCCAAGGGCCACGTGGCATACTTCACTTGTTCAGTAAGGATGCAACGTCAAAGGGGCCAATCGCATTATAATAGTGTCCTACATTGATTAGAATTAAGAAAAATATATTAGATTAATTGATTAATATAACTAGCCTATAAACTAATTATTAAGCATTAACTTTCCAGCAGGTTTGGCAATTATTTTGCAGTGCTGCTAAAGACCACTTGTATTCATATATTTGACCATGGACTCTTATAGAATTAAAACATTTTCCTCTATTTCGCAATCAGCAGTCTGGTCGGAGCTCCTCTGCTATGCCTGTTCTTTTTCTTCTTTTTCTCCCTCTCTCCTCCCTTCTATCGCTTCTCTTGGCCTTGGCCCCGATCTCCAAAGTGGAGTTGGCGGTTGGTGGAGATGCCAGCGGCTGGAGCGGGGACATCGGGGACCAATAGCCCAGTGTAAATGGTGGCAGCAGCCAGCGGTCAGACCATGTGGAGGCCCCCTGTGCTGGTCTGCTGTGGAGAGCCTTTGGAGAGAGATTGTGCTGCGTGTCTTTTAAACTTTGCTTCTTGTTTCAGTTGTACTGTGTATAGCTGTAATGTAACATTCTTTTTCTTCATTTCACTATTATGTAACTAAGGATTGTACCTAGGTACCCCTGTACTTAAGATGATACCGTAAGTGGCAACTTTATACACTTTTCAGTGTGTACTCTTTGAGTATGTGACAATAAAACTCGTCTGTCTTTCTGTCCATCCTCAATCCATCCCTCACTCACCCCCAGCCATGCCTACTCCCCAGCTGTCCCTCCATCCTTCCCTCACCCTCCAGGCCGTCCCTCAATCCATCCCTCCAGCCCACCCTCCTTCCCACGCCCATCCATCCCTCCATCCCTCCATCCCTCCATCCCACCCTCCCATCCCTCCCTCCCCACCCACCAATCAATCCATCCATCCATCCCTACCTCCATCCCTCCCCTCCCCAGATATTTATCCCTCCCTCTCTCCCTGCCCCTCCATTCAGCCCTCCCTTCATTCCGCCCCAGCCCTGCTCCCGGTGCAAGCCTCATTCCCCCTGAGAATGGTAATTCAGCGGATAAAATTTGTCCTGCATTCTGTGGACAGGATATGCCTAGGCATGAGCTGGGCAATATGGCAAGTTGCCTAAATTTTATGCTAATGGAACAGCTTAACTGAAGGCATCGCTAGTTCTACAGTACAAATTTTCCATACTACAGCTGGGATACTGTTGGGATCTATAGCCTTTGCAGATTCCAGTGTCTTCAGCTATTTATTTGATATTATACAGAGTGAATGAAGTTGGCTGAAGACTGGCGTCTATGATTTTCAGTCTGGTCTTTGGGAGAATTGAATCATTCACTTGGCATTTCAGGCTGAAGGTGGCTGCAAACGTTTCAGCATTTGCCCTTTCAGTTGTAAATCAAGTCTGATCATATTTTGATTATGATGATCATTGTAAAAAGGCACAAATTTTTAAAAACATTTCTTGTTAACCATGAGTCACAATTAATTTATTGAAAAGTGCACTGGCTACAGGTAAAACTATCTGAGATGAGTTTTGAGAGGCTAGGTACTGTTCAGTAATTTATATTGCAATAGTGAGCAGATCACAGAAGGAACAAGCAGCACTCATTATCAAATATATTCTTCTAGCACTGTAGGAAACGTTATGATTCCCGAACGTTCCTGATGCTGAAGAAATTTTACTAAGAGCATTGCTGAGGAAGCAGCTGAGATAATTCAAAGCATCATAGTTGAACACGGATCAGATTTCGAACTCTCTTGTGGTCAGACTTGCGTTAATGGAGCCAACATGGCAGAGAGGCATGCTGAAGCATAGATGGTGCTTGTGAATCCAAGAGGCATTTTCTTCCATGAACCTAGCTAAGGATATTTAATTACATCTACATATACATAGCCTGAAAACATTCAACCCTGTTATTGACCAAAGTGCTTTTTAACTTATTTTTTAAGAGTTATCTGTCTTCACTTTCACTGCTAGGGTAATAAACTATTGAAGATACCGTACATATTATTAACATTAAAATTATTATTTTCTTACTTTTCAAACTTTGTTCTTACCATGCTGCTGAGTGTTAATCCACAAATTTAATAGTGGTTATCAAATCTCTTATAAAATTAAACAGATACTTAGGTCGCTTAGTTTCAAAATGACCATTTACAAATTATTTTTGAATGCTTCCTAACAAAAAAAAATCTGATTTTTAATCTGCCTTGCAGAGGTGAACTTAATAATTAATGTTCATTTATTGAATAGTGACAGCAAGAACTGGTGTTCATTAATTATTTGTAAAAGCCTGCAGACTTGTCAAATTTTACATTGAACCTTGACAACCTGCAATCTCTATGCTGTGCTGTACGTTGCGAATATTTCTGATTTCATATACAAATTTCATATACAAATGGCAGGAGAAATACTTAGAAATCTGTCTGCTAGTGTAGGGTAACCTTGTGGAAATCAAGAGAAGATCATGTTAGGAAACTGATAAAATAGGCAACGCTAAACTTCTCTAATGAGCTCAAGCGGGACTAGGAAACCAGGGCTGTTGGCAATCATTCATACCTTTATCTTTAAAGGTCACACTAGCAGAAAGCATTTTGGTCCTGGCTGATTTCATTTGCCTTCAGGACACACATCCAGATAGTCACATAACATTGATTGTCTCAGGCTATTGCACCTGTTGTCAAGTTAGGGCACCTTCATCTTTCCACACTTGGACAGTATGTCAGAAAGATAGTTCAAGCATGACTTCTACCAATTAGTTTGCTTTAGAAATGTCATCAGGTCAATGTGGTTTCATATAAACCTCTCAGTACAGCGTTGAGCAGGGCAGGCCATTACTATTGCTTTAGACTGCGATACAAGTGCAAAATCATTGTTTCAATTCCATTTAATTTCTGAACGCTCAGGGACACTCTCTGTGTTATCCTGTGGTGACCCATGCTGATCTTGTTTGCCTGACAATATTTCTGGCAATTGCATCTTTGATGAATTGTCTGTCTTGTGTGCAGCATCTACATTTAAGATTCGCAAAATTATACTGTTGTCTCCCAAGTTAGGAATGGACCTTTGATATTGATTTAAATTATTTCTAATCTCTCCTCATTTTATCTAACATTTCAAATCTGGAAATCCGAGCAAAATTGCAAGAGATATGAGCCCTGTAGATCACTGCCCCACATCCAGAGCCAGCCATTCAAATGACATAAGCAGGTATACCAGTCGGTTAGACCACTGGAGCTGAGAAAATTGCACTCCAGGCAGGAATAGGCCCTGCAGTCACTGTTAATTGGTCACTAAAGGATCTCAGTGGAGTCAGGGTAGGAAGGTGTCATGGCTTAACTGCCTGAACTGACCTGGGTTGGTTGACACAGGAAGGTTTCGGCCTTTAGTCCTGGTGACAATTCACCTAACTGTCCAAGCCTCCCACTTCTGGATTCTGAATCACTACAAACACTTATTGCATATTATTACATGGTTTCTCAGCAACTTCATCAGTACGTGGTAAAATTCTTTTTAATAATTGACTTTCCAAATATTAGTAAACTATAGACTGGTACATCCTGTATTTTTCACACAGGGACAAAGCCGCACTTGGAAGGCAGATTGAAAAACTGGAAGCAGATATATGTCAGTGGAAGGACAAATACGAAGACCTGAGCAAATCCAAGCAGGAAATCCTCAAGCAGGTATGAAACTAGAAGAAAATAGAAATGCACAGTTAGCCTGTTTGCAGATCATGGTGTACTTTTAGTGACTTAGATGCTTTTTGGGAGTTTTGAGGATCATTACTTTTGAGGATCATTACTTTTGAGGAAACTATGGGGACAAAGTCATGCAAAAGGATATTTTATGGTCTGTTTGAAACCAGAGAACATAGCTATTTCTTACATAAAAAGGGTGCTCTCATCGAATGTTTATAAAGAGTTGGCAAATCATTCCTTCCTAGGTAACTGAAGAGCAACACACTTACACAGAGATCCAAGCTGTATTTCATTTTGTGTCACATTCTTGTTACCTATATCCGCCTTGTTTTACATCGCAGTTCAGATGTCTTTTCAAGTAAATGTAAATATAAGCCTATCAGAGGCAGGGACAAGTGAAATTATCATGAGGAATATGGGAACGGCGAAGGTGTCAACCAGTATTTGGGCTGAGATTTACAGGAAATTAGTTGAGAGTCAATTTTGACAAATTTCATGGAGGGTTGGTCTCCATGAGTCCTAGCAATATTTCTCATGCAATTTTCCTAAACTTGCCTCAGTGCCTATGCATTGTGCCCTGATGGCATCCCATTCATTGTAACTTCCCACCTGCACAGTCAGAAGTACTAACCACTGCTGGAACGTCAGGGGCACCTTGGGAACAACACCATCTTTTAAAGTCCAGCTGTGCACCCGGTCAAGCACTGGCAGGAGTTGTCCTTCTGTGTGCGTGTGATGGGAGGACAACCACAATCAATCACTTCTCAGAGCAATTAGGTGGCACAGCTGAGCCTTCGTTGTAAATACAAGTGCATATGCACAAATCTATTGCTGTTAAAGAACAGAGTCGCACAGGTTAGCCGTCTTTAGCTTCATCTCATCTTAGAACCCTGTCTAAGGGAGTGTTATGCTTTCCCCAATGCTCAGCGAATCCAACATCATCATATTGTTCAATGTGGGACTGGAAAGTTTTCAAATGGTTCAAAATATTCTCTTTTATTCAGCACCAGTAAAAATAAAGCAATAAATAAAAAAATAACAAAACCTGCATTTGCTTGTGGGAACAGTCAGGGTCTTTCGAGTGCCAGGAAATCTACAGTCAATGAGTGAGCACTGCGTCCAACTCTCAGCTACTGGAACTGCGTGTTGATTAAGCCCTGCCTGGCTTGTTGTGCCTGATTCTGCAGAGCTCTATCATGCACAAGGTAATATTCTTCCTCCTACTCAATATCCTCACCTTCCTCTTTGGAATACTGCTCCCATTCTCCCAGCCCATCAGAGTCCATCACAGCACCTTGTTTCCTGTTCCTGTGCAGAAAACGCTGACTCTGCCCACTCGGCATGGTCTCAGCGATTTTCAATTTCCAGTGAGCATGTACGAGTCACGAGTATAGCAGGCAATGCAGGCTGCCCTTGGCACAGCCTGGTAATCAACAGGGACCCTACACACTTCCATGTTCCTTTTTTTGGCACTCCTGGTCAAGCCCACCATTACTGGACACCAAACGTTCTCACACGTTCCGAATTATGACTTCATCTCTCAACATTACTCCTGAAACCCACTCCTGTAGTCATGCCAGCCACAATGCTGCATTGCTCCCCCCATTAATGTCAGGGTGATTGTGACTGCTGATGATTCTGTGTCCACAGTAACCCATGTCTTCCAATGCACTATCCTTTCCCCTCTTTATGTTGAGTTTCCCTACTTCACGATTATTGTTGACTCTACATCCCAGCATGCTGGCTCTGATCCCCACATTGATTCTCCTGACATCCCTATTATAGCGGTGCTCCCCTTATAACCACTGTTTTCTTTCATTGAACTAAACCCCAGGACTGACTGTGGTACACTTCCCTGCCCAGATTGGAAAGACTGCACTGACTGATGACTGACCACTGTACAGCAGAGACTGTGACTCCCAGGACTGCTTTCACTCGCTTTGCAGGACTGACCACGGCTGACTCCCTGAACTGTAGTGAGATGGACACCCTGAACCTGACCACCCCAATCATCCAACTGTCTGTGTTCAATTCCCTGGACTGATATTGGACATTGCCCTTGATTCTCAGTGCTAGGACCCCCTGACTGAGGGGTGTCTTCCTTGACTTTACTACTCTTTGTAGAAATTGAGACACGGCCACTTGATTGATGCACATGCAGTGTGTTTGTTGTGTACACTGCTGGCATATTGTGCAGGTATGTGACTGACATAGCCTGGTGCTGTACCGAGACATGTCCAACTCTTTTACTAACATGACAGGCTTCCTGGCTTTGTGTCTGCGCTAAAATGCAAGGTAATGTGAGCTTTTAAGCTCTGGCTGAGGCGTGAGTGCTAAAAGGTGAGGCAGGGATGCAGTGATCGTTGAAATATTGAGTGTTAAGAGACCAAGTGAGGAGGCCTGAGATGCAGCCTAGTGTAATCTATGAGCTGGATGCCTGTCCCTGTGTGCAAAGCATCCTGGAGTAGTATTTACAAGGAAAGGTGCCAGTGCACTCTAAAGTAATTAAATTGGAGCTGTGCCAGGAGCTGCAGAGAGGTTGGTATTTGTCTGTCAATGGACATGGAGTGCATGCTGTCACTGGCCAGGAGCATGCCCTAAAATATTAGTGACTGCTGTCCAAGGTGGAGGGCAGAGGAGTGAGCAGTGAGCTGGATTTGTCAGCTAACTGCTCAGAGTTTCTGTCAGGAGTTGTTGTCATCTAATTTCTAACGTGACAGCTGGGAGAAGATGAAACTGCATACAAATGAGATGAAATGAACTAATAATGAGACGTTATCACGTGCTAATGCATGCAAATAGGCCCCTCGCTGTTCACTAGTGAGGATGTTGTCTCCCTATTCAACATGGGAAAATGGAACCTTTTGGACATTGATAATCTACTTAGTGCTGATCTCATGTGATTTTCCCAAATTTCTCACCAATTCCCAAGTCATTTAGTGGCTGGGAAGATTCTACCCTTTGTGTCTGCTTTCACAATTGAAGACACAAAAATCATTTTAAATATAATTTTAGAAACCAAGGTTCTAGTAAAAGCGAGAAACTTAAATTAATCACTATAAGTAAAGAAACTGTACTGGAGAAATTAATAGTAAGGGACCATAAATCCCCTGGACCTAACAATCTGCATTTTAGGATTGTAAAAGTGATGGCTGTAGAGATAGTGGGTACACTGATTTTGATCTTCCTACATTCCTTAAATTCAAGAATAGTTGCCAAGAATTGGAAAGTAGCGAGCATAACATCACTGTTTAAGTAAGGAGGGAGAGAGTAAAGGGCAGTTATAAGCCATTAAACCTAACATTTATCGCAGGAATCGATTTGTGGGGTACAGGTAAAAGGTCACTTAAAAATCGTATGATAAACTGAGTCAACATGGAAATATGGATGGGGGGAGATCTGATTTGGCAAATGTGTTAAAATGATTTGAGGTCTGTCTCCAGAATGGATGGGGAACCTGTAAAGGCTGGACATTTGGCTTTTCAAAAGGCATTCATAAGAGGTTATTACAAAACTAGAACTCATGGGTTTGGGTGATACAATATTAGCATGAATTGAGGTATGATAGATGGACAGAAAAAAGCAGAAAAGGTTGGCAGGGCTTTAACTGGTGGGGTACCACAAAGATCTGTACTCGGACCTTGGCAATTTCCAACCTACACTGATGATTCTGATTGGTGGATTGAATATAACAATTTCAGGTTTGCCGATAATACAAAATTAGGGAAAATAAGCATCTACTAGGATGCAAAGATATTATTTTTAAGCACAAGTCCACTTTTTACAACCCGGGATCTACCTCTAAGAAAATATAGAATAAACAGCTTACTTTTTTAAGCTATATAAATTTAAAAGCAAATATAAATAATTATTTGTTTTGTCCTGTACTCACCAAGTTTCAGTGAGAGACCTATGCATGCACATGATCTGCCAGTGCATTGAGTGGGGCTTCAAGGCACTGGCAGATCGTGTGCATGCACAGGTTTGAGGCTGGTAGTCCTATGCAGTCCACCATAGGGGTATGGTATATGGACTTGATTATCTTCATTTGGGAGGTGTACAGACTCAAAGTAAAAATAAAGTTAAAGCCAAAGTAAAAGTAAAAGAACTGTTAAAGTTAGCTTTCAGTTTAAAAGTATACAATGTTAGGAATGGGTATTTATTTCTGTTTACAAGGCCCCAAAAAAATCACTGACCCTCAATCTGATTTTAAGCTGAATATCATTTTGTAGAGTAATTATCTCCATAATCAGCCCCACTGCTCTGCAAATCAAACATCTGATGGAATTCGGTAGCTAACCAACCACTGAGTTTGAGACCAACATGACAATTTGTTCCATCATATCTATTTCCTAAAATCACCTGTTGAATTCCTACGCTAACTTCCTCAGGTGTTTGAACAGACATGTTCTGGGTAGAATCTCATTTCTTTGTATTTAATTCTTTATATGTATTTTCTCAGATGCAGGAAGCATTGCAGTGTCTTGTTCTAAATGGGAAGACTGCAGACCCAGATTCAGTTTGAATGTATTCACAGCCCTGATCTATGAGCTATAATCCCTGCAGTTCATAGTTCATTCAGTTTTGACGATATGTCTGTAAAGAACCCAAACTCGAGCAACCACACATTGATATCTCAGTCGTTGAATTAAGAAAAATGATGATCTCAGGCAACAAATCTAAAAATCTTTACAGGTTGTTCCCTTGACTTAACCACCTCACGTCAGCACAGAGGATTACTTCACCTTAGGCAGCATCGAGTTCATTGAGTAAGAAGTGCTGACGGACTTTTGCTTAAGTTGAGAAAACAATCTTAACAATAACTTTCATTGCATGAGAAAAGTTCATCACTTGCTAGTGGATTAAACTGTGGTAAGTGATAAAAGAGGGAACATCACGATCGTATCTGCAAAATGCAACAAAGGCTACGTTTACACCAAGAATGGCTGGTGCACCATCAGTTGTGATGTTACTTGATTGGAATG